AAGTAACCCTTGATTTTTGTTAAATAATAAAATTAATTAATATTAATTATATAGTCAGTCTAAAAACGTTGTCAGCTCTCCAACGTTGTCCAGGCATTTTTGGACCATCAAAAGTGGAATATTTCGGGAAACGGTTCGAAACATTCCAAAAACATTGTTTCGCAATTTTTTACCAGTATTTCAACGTTTTTTAATTTCCATATTTTTCAACTTATACTGTGTAAATTTCTGTCAAATGGACAACATTTTAGACAGACTTTATCATTTTTTATAATAACTTTATTAATAATTAATTAACTATAAAACATTTAAGTATATTTCAATTAATTTATATTATTAGATATGATTGTTATTTTTTGATATTTTTATTATAATTAATTCATACATTTATTATAATTGGGTGAGCGAAATAATTTAAAAACACAACTTTAAAAACACTTTCAAATACCAAAGTACCAAAACTCCAGAATCAAATGTTCTTTCAATCCATTTGAAATATGAAAAACTCTCTGAAAATGAGTTCTTCTGGGTGAAACTTGAGTACTACATTATATACCAATACCAAGAGTGTCGGGAAACGGTCGTATTATCCAAATAAGTTTTGTTAGTTGATGGGGAGAATAATATAGTGTTGACTGTTATTTCGAATAGCTCTAAGTAAGTCTCTCGTTCTATTAAAGTCATACTTCTGAAATTTGTCCGATGACTCGAGAAGCATTGGGTCGATCCATTGGTTCCATTGAATTGAATCGGAATACAAGTCGGGAATTTTATTCCGATTCCCGACTTGTCCAATCCTTAAGTGACAATAAAGGAGTGGTTGACCTCGAATTTGCACGACGCGCATCGAATGAAGTGAAGCTTTTTGTTATAGTCTCAGAAGAGGTAAATTGGAAACACAACTTCAGCAGTTGGTCCGTTTTAGTGTCTGTTCGTGTTAAAAGCGCAAGAGTCACTGTGAATTCAAAGTGATTGTGGTTGATAGTCGAGTCATTTCTACTTTCACTCATTATAGCGACTCCGTTCTGTTCTTCAACACTTTCGTGGTGTTCCAATTCTTTGTCTTCTGTTCCATTTTTTTCGTGTCGATCTTCCATCTCCTCGTTGTCTTGAACTACAAGCAAACTTGTGACTTCCTTATCTACAGGCTGTTTGGGGTGTTTGTAAAATTCTCGGATCTCATCGACACTATCATCAAAGAAAAACACCAGTTTATAGTTATCCATTGTTGTGACTTCTGCTATTTTTTTAAAGGTGTCATGTTCTTCAGGTTTCAAAGATTTGAACATCCACCTTTCAACGGAAACATATTCTCCAAGCAACTGTCCATTTTGCAGTTGATGGTAAGTATACAACGAGTCTCTGTTTAAGTCTATCATCGGGTTGAACATCAAGGTGTCGCGAATTGAAATCAATTTTGATTCGGCAAGTTTTTCTTTGACTTTCAAAGTGCACTGAGTTTGGTAAAATGCTCGACACCGTTCTTTGTTTTCAAGTCGAAGAATATGAGAAACTCTGTCGAGATAATCAATGATAGATAGTGTGTTATCCAACAACAGTGTAGCTTCATGTTTAAGAAGTTTATTGATTAATTCAGTAGTGTTCCTCCCTGTCTTGTCCGACACAAGAAATTTTTCTTTGTCGTTGATCAGCATTGAAGTAATTAATTCGATCAGTGCAATAAGTTCTACTCTTTTTATTATTTTATCATTAATGTTTTTATGGGAACTTTCAGAGTATTTATCCGTCCTTATTGCCTTACCAAAGCAACACCACAATTTAACAGAAA